AGATGCATTTTTTTCTTAAAACACGGACCATGTGCGATCTAGGTTTCCAATTCCGACTCCTGGATTCCTGAAGTGCAGCTGTGCTCAGAATGTGACTTCTCATTTCAGGGGTCATGGATCCAGAGCGCTGTAGGTGGGTGCCACCGTGGGTTTTTTGACCTCTGGGTTACGGGGCCCTGACCTGAAGCTCCCATCTTCTTCTGCCTTCTCCATCCTACTGCTTCAATTTTACCATAAGCCGTGTTAGCCCCCAGGGCCCGTTCTAGACAATCCACTCTCATGTATACGTTTCCTCCCCCTCCTCCTCTCTCCCCATCCGTCCTGGTCAGTTCAGGCTGCCATATCAAAATGCCATTTCAGTGAGTTGGCTTCCACCAGAAATAATCCTCAGAGTTCTGGAGACTGGAGATCCCAGGTCCAGGCAGTGGTAGTCTCTGTCTGGTCAGGACCTGCTGAGAAGAGGGCACCTTCTCTCTGTCTTCAATAGGGAGGTCCTCTCTCAGGTCCTTGTGAAGGGCACTAATCCCATTCATGAAGACCCCACCCTCATAACCTGATCCCTTTCTCATGAGCCCCACTTCCTCCTAATTCCCTCATATTGGAGATCAGCCTTTGAGTTTATGAAGTTTGTGTGTGTGTGGGGGGTATATTAGTGAGCTCATTTTACCACCCATAAATTTACTACCAATAGTCCTGATGAGAACATTTAGAGGAGGGAAAGTTTATTTGGGGCTCATTGTTTTGGAGGTCTCAGTTCATAGTTGGCCAGCTCCATTGCTCTGGGCCTGAGGTAAGGCACAACATCATGGCGGAAGGAGGAACGCAGCTCATGACATAGCACCAGGAACAAAGTATATATCCCCAAAACAGGCACCCAGGAACCTACCTCCTCTAGCCACACTCTAGCTGCCTATGGTTCCCACCCAGCTAACCCCCGAGGGGATTAATCTATGGATGAGGTTACACCTCTTATAACCCAGTCATTTCACCCCTGGACTATCTTGCATTATCTCCCACATGAGCTTTTGGAGGACACCTCCTATCTAAACCATGACAGGGGAGCTCGATCACAGGCTGTGATGCCAATCTTGGACCATCTTGCATATCTACATTCAGCTGTTATGGCCCTTGTTTTAAAATCTGCTTTTGTTTATTATTCTTGTAATGTTATATACTTGCTTTTATTTTTCAGTTTGCTTATTTTGTTTTCATGAAGTCAAATGGATTTTAAAAGAAAGCTTTTTATGAGCATTGTCCGTAGGAAAAAACCCCATGCTCTTTGACATGGATAGTTACTGTGAAAAATTTTACGTGCATGGTTTATGGAAAATAAATCAGTTTCCCATGTTATCAAAATCTAGTTTAATACTTTCGGGGCAAAGGGGAAGGAGTGTGTGCCAAGGATTTGTAGAGCACCAAACAGGAGATTTTCTTTTCGTTGATGTGATTCAAGGGATAGAAAGAATACATAAGAGCAAATATCTTTTTAACAGCTGTGTTTTAGTGAACTAGAAGTATCAATCACCCCTTAAGATCTGCTCCAAGAGAGTATTTGGGCTATACCTGGCCTTAGTGGTGGTCCTATGTCATGATGCCTCTTATTTTCTTTCTTTTTTGGGTGGGAAGGAGAGAAGGGGATGGTTGTACTGGGGATTGGTCTCAGGGCCACTAAACCACTGAGCCCCATCCCCAGCCTCATTTTGTATTTTATTTAGAGACAGGGTCTCACTGAGTTGCTTAGGGCCTCACTTTTGCTGAGACTGGCTTTGAACTTGCGATCCTCCTGCCCCAGCCCCCCCAGCTGCTGGGATTGCAGGCATGTGCCACTGCAGCTAATGTGATTCTTATTTTCTTCCAAGACCGTGTTGCTTTCATGCTGAACTCTATCTAAAAAGGGACAGTTCCACCTGTATGGCCACCCCACTCCCTGTGCTGTACCCATGTTCCAGGCTTGATTCTAGAAATAGTTGACAGACCCCCCATTGGTCACATACCTTCCAGATTCCTGGCACTATACTCAGCTCTTTGGGAATGTGGTTGCCTCTAAATGTCAAAGGAGCCTCGAAGCGCAGGCAGGCAGTATTGGTACTGCCATTTGATCAATGGGGTAGGATACCTGCCTGAGGTCACGCCCCTGCCAAGTGGCAGGATGAGATGCCAGTCCTCTCGGAGCTGATGCTCATAGGACATATTGTGTTCTCTGGTAACTACCTTTGGTCCCTTGTGTTTTGAAATGATGGCCATCCTCAGGGTCCTTAGAAAATTGTTACAGGATAGCCAGGATGATGCCCCCTCCCCAGTTTTATAAGTAAACAAAAATAGAATCCATTCTTGAAAGGGGCGAATGTGCGTGAGGCACGCTGTGTGCTCTGGTGAGAAATACAATAAAATGAAAAATGAGATTAATGTTTCAGATTGTACAGTTCCCTAATTATGTCTTTAATTATTCATATAAAACAAGTAAAATGACCCCTGACAGAGACATAAATGATTTAGGATAAAATCAAATATTTATAGGATGACGCTGACTCCCTGCGCGTATTGTAACAGATGCACTTAGAATCTTTGCCTTCGTTCTCTGGATGTAAAATTTTATATATTGAATTTATAGCAGTGTGAGAATAAGCAACAGTATTTAGGACTCTACTGAGTTAATACCTGGGTGTTTGACATTGGAATGAAAGGTATGTGCAACATATTATCTGATATTTTGGAAGCTACATCTTTATGTATATGTCAGTTTAGATATTATCTTAGCTAATATTTTATCTTACAAGAGATTACATTTTCCAGGTCATGGAAGGACAATCTGTTTGCTTTTGTTTACCTTTTAATGTTTTAATTTGAGACAGGGTCATGCTAAGCTGCGTAGGGCCTCACTAAGTTGCAGAGGCTGATATCCAACTTTTGATCCTCCTGCCTCAGCCTCCCAAGTTGCCTGGATTACAGGCATGCACCATCATGCTTTGCTGTGTTTTTTTTTTTTAATTTATTTTTTAGCTGTAGGTGAACACATACCTTTATTTTATTTTTACGTGGTGCTGTGTATCGAGCCCAGTGCTTCACGCATGCCAGGCAAGTGCTCTACCACTGAGCTACAGCCCCAGCCCACGCCTGTCTGTTTTGTTTCTGGTGTATCAGGGATTGAACTCGGGCACTCCAGCACTGAGCCCCATCCCCAGCCCTATTTTGTATTTTATTTAGAGACAGGGTCTCACTGAGTTGCTTAGCACCTCGAGTTTGCCGAGGCTGACTTTGAAGTCAAGATCCTCCTGCCTGGGCCTCCGGAGCTGCTGGGATTACAGACGTGCACCACCACACCTGGCTTGTTTACCTTTTTAAGTGGTTAGAAAATCAAAAGGAGGAAGAACTCTGTGAAAATTATATCAAATTCAGATTTCCATGTGGTTAAGCGAGGTTTCACAGGAGGCTGGCCTCAGTCATGTCATTGTGTATGCCTTTGGCTGCTTCTGTGGCATAAAGCTGAGACCTAATAAGTGCACCAGAGAGGGCAACTACTCTATTAAGCCTAAAATATTTAGCAAATGCCTCTTAACGGGAAAAGTGTGCCAACCCCTGTTCTAAAACATGCCCCAAACAGGAAAAAAAAAATTAGAATAATACCCTAGCGTGTTTAATTGGCACAAGAAACACTTGCTTTTACTTCATTTCATCCTTTAATTTGCTGTCCCACTAATTGAATGTTCCCTGTATATTTTCTCAGAAGTTGGAGAAAAACTGCCTTTTGAATGCAATAAAAAGGGATTTATATGAGCAGGGTTCCTTCTCTTGTGTTTAATGCTTCCTTTATTTAGAGAAGTACTGAAACTAATTGCCCTGTTTTAGAAATGGGTCATTAGTCTAGTCCCTATCTTTTATGGAGACCTCATTTGCATGCAGGGTTTCTCTCTGAAGCTCTAACTGGGATCTCTTCAGCAAGAGGAGACAATGAGGATCTGAGAGCTTTCCCATGGCCCACACAAGCTTGGCTTTTGGTCATAAGCCATTCGGTATATTGGTTGGCATCTTACATGTACTTAGTAAGGATGTATTAAATGAACTAATGGATCCACTTTAGGAAAAAGAAAATGTATCCCTTTTAAAATAGAAACTAGTATGTACCCATTAGATATTAAGATTCTTTTGCCGAAATAAATTTCTCCAAGAGCCTTAATCTAAGTTGTTCTCCAATTTTCTTTCTCCTTGTTCAAGAAGGAAAGATGTGTTTTTGCAATGAAGGCTGTGATCAGGTATAGATCCCCAATGTTGTGCATGCTCTCATGATTTTGTTTTCCCTCATGGATAAGGGAAGTATTCATGTGTTTAGAATTAAGAATAGAGGAGTTCTAATTTGCAATGTTCGAGTGACTTAATAAGTAGATTTTCCACCGCAGTTCCCTGGGCATGTTTATCAAATGTCAAGACTGCCATTGCCAGTCCTAATAGTCTTCTAATTTTTGCATTAATATTGGGAAAACTTGCAAATTCCCTCCCTGATATCTTGCCTGGGTTTTCTGATCAAAGAAACATGCTTCATGCATCTGGCTCAATGTATACATTTCCTGTCTCATTTTCAAACCTTGAGTCTTGGGGGTAGCCCCAGGAAACAGTGCTTAAAAAGAAACCTCTCACTCTCCTGGTAGTTTTGATTGTCATGCTAATTTAGGAGACACTGTCACAGACCAACTTAGTTTGTCATATATTCTCTCTCTCTCTCTCTCTCTCTCTCTCTCTCTCTCTCTCTCTCATATGTTAAATGGATAAAAAAATTCTGAGATTTCTCTCTCTGGGAATTGTCATGATGGAGAACCTACGGGTGATCTAAGCTTGTTCTGCTGCTAGAATGTCCTAATTTCTTCATGCCCGTGGTTTTGACTTGTTGTTTAACAGGTCGGTGAGGAGATGATTCCCACCATGACAATCATGAACTGTATTAGAAGCAACAGAAGCAATCCTTCCTTAGGGTGTGAAACTCACGGTGTGTTCCCCTTCTCTTTTAGTGGCCATCCTTCTCAAAGATGACTATTTTGTGAGTGGTGCTGGCCTGCCTGGCAGATTCAAAGCCGAGAAGGTGGAGTTTCACTGGGGCCACAGCAATGGCTCTGCGGGCTCCGAACACAGCGTCAACGGCAGGAGGTTTCCCGTGGAGGTGAGAGAAGATCTCTAGAGATCTGCAAGCATGGCTGTCCTTTGAATGTTGATGTTAATCACATGCTCTTTCCTTACCTTCATTTTTTTGTACAAATCAGACTGGATAAAAAGAAACATTTCTGCCAAGAAATCCTTTATTGGCTGGATATCATGATGCATGCCTGTAATTTCAGTGGCTTGGGAGGCTGAGGCAGGAGTATCGCAAGTTCAAAGCCAGCCTCAGCAACTTTGCAAGGACATTTGCTCAGCGAGACCCTGTCTCTAAATAAAATATCAAAAAAGGATGGGGATGTAGCTCAGTGGTTAAGTGCCCCTGGGTTCAATCCCTAGTACCAAAAAAAAAAAGCCCATATCTATAGCATGTTATCTGGATGCTTCCTACCAGGCCTCTCCTCCTTTGTTCAAGGGGAGAAATAGGGAAATTGCAGGCATCCTGGTTTGGTGGACTCTCCCCTGGTCAATGCAATTGATCATTTGTTGATTTGACAGTCTCTTTTCACAGTTCATTTCTGAAACGTTCGTTGCTCTCTGAAGCCAACATTTTGTGTGAAACTTGGGTGACTTTCATTGTCATTCTTTGGAAAACTAGTGACATGAAGAAGGGTCTCAAACCTTCTTTGTTTGGAGGGTTTTCTGCTCCTGGCTACTGTTGAGAAAGATGGTCTGTTAGTGGCCTGAGTCCCTGTTAACTTTGCCTGGATGGATGATGACATTTTGCTTTAGTCCTGACATACCTTACACCTTTTTACAGACCCTCGGTGCTGATGTGCAGGGAGGAGAGGGATCTGGTCACCAACTCCGTCATTAACCTTAGCTAGGGATGCGACTTCCCTTCTGTGGCTGACTCATTGTTGTGAATATTCTTCTGCTGTGATAAACGTGTTGGTTGGCTCCAGATGTGGTCATTCTTAGGTCTAAAATGAATGTATTTCCTGTCTATGATTCTACCCAACCATGGAGTGACTCTGAACTGGTAGCATGTTATCATCCAAGGAGCCAAGTGGCCAAGGACTATTTCCAACCTTTAACGTTTCTTGTCCTGCTTTGTGAATCCAATGAATATGGTACCACCTAGGCGTTCTGGGTTTATTGTCCCTGTTCAACAAAGAATCGAAGAACAGACACAGATAGCAAGCAAGAAGTAGGTTTATTGCAAAATTGACAGAGATAGACCTCTCCCAAGAGAAGGGGCCTCAGAGCTGGGAATCCAGTGGGGGAGTTCTGGCCTGTTCTTTTTATGGTCTCTGAAATTTCCTCCTTTCCTTATCTCCTCCCCTGTCCACGTGTTCTTCACTATTGGTGCCCCCCTGTCCACATCTGTTTTAATTTTTTCTTGGATCCCTGCTTAGGAGTACAAGTATAGAAGTGTCTTTCTGATTGGGTCCCCGTTTGTGTCCACGAGCGCTTTGGTCCTGCAGGAAGTTGACCTCCCTGCTCCTCTGTTCTGGCCCCGCCCCGACCTCCTCACTTACCATCTTGCCCTGGCCGCCTCGGCCCTTCTACATCTCCCTCAAATACCTGAGGCTCCCTTCACAAAGAAAATACATGTGCGTATCCACACAGAGGTGTTCATTTGCTTCTAATTGCTGTGAGCCTTTGGGGCACATTCCAGATCCAAACCCTAACCACATAGACTTGCATGTAATTTCTCGGGTTTTATTATTCAGCCCAGCGCCTCATGTCTGTGTTTGGACCTTCTGTGTATCCTTGGAGCTTAGGTGAACGTGCCCTATAAGATGGGGAAAATCTCTTTGTTTATAGAAACTTTCAAAGGTAATAGGGGAAAAAATTCCAGGTCAGTTCTGTGATTCCCCAAATCTGTGATCCCAAAAAAATTACATAATCATTTTTCCAGCAGATTCTAAATCGGCATTCTGTCCATCAATTCAGTTCTGACACCTTCTACCTGATAGAGCTTCAGACCCAGTCTGAAGTCTAGGTCTCTGGAACGTCTGTCCAATCCAAATTGGGGCTCCCTTAACCTACTCTTTACATCCCATTAATTTGCTTGAGTGGCTCACAGAACTCGGGAAAATAGAAATGTTTCTTTGTTTATTATGAAGAATATCTTAAGGGATGCACACAAGTAGGCAGATGTCTCCATGGGGCTGGGGTGTGGCACCCTTCCTGCACATGGTTTAGTCCTTGTTCACTTTCTTGTAAGATGCTAGGGATCCATCTGTCCTAGAGCTCTCCATGGTCAGTTTTCTGTCACTCTGACAAAATACCTGAGAAAATCAACTTAAAACAAGAAAAGGTTCCTGGTTTTTTTGTCCATGATCACTTGCCTGCATTTTTTCTGGGCCTGTGGTGAGGCAGAGCATCATGGCAGGGAAGTGCCTGTTGGAGCTTATCTCCTGGTCACTAGGAAACTAAAGGAAAGAGTTAGAGGAAGGGACCTGGAATGAAATGGTACATCTGCAGTGATGTGCTCCCTCCAAGAAGGCACTACCTCCACAGTTTCCATTACCTCCCACCAGGTCATGAAGTTATGAATGCATGAGTGAATTAATCCATGAATGAGGTCAGAACCCTCATGATCCGGTCTCCTCCCCAAGGGCCCACCTCCGAATACTGCTGCCATGGGGACCAAGCTTTTAACACATGAGCTTTGGCAGACATTTTAGATCCAAATCCTAGCACTCTGCAAACCCTATCCCTTGGGATTTAATAGAGGATCCATTTAAACATGGACAGCCCTAAGGAAAGGTGACTGGACAAAAGGAATGTGAACCATTGTTGATCCTGTCTCTGTGCTCCTCTGCCTCTCTGTGCAATATTCTTTCCGCCTGGGTACACAAGAGGTGTCTTAGGATCTATTAGCAGATAAGGCAGGTTTATTACCTTTTCATTTCTGTCACCAAACTACCTGAAAAGACCACCTTAAAGGAGGGGATATTTATTGGGGGCTCATGGTTTCTGAGGTCTCAGTCCATAGACGGCGGAACCAATGTCTCTTGGGTCCAATGTGAGGCAGCATATCAAGGTGGATGGGTCCAGAGAAGGACAGCTGCTTACCTCATGGCAACCAGCAAACAGAGAATAGAGGCAAGAGGGGAAGGGGCCGCAGAGGAAGATGCACCCTTCCAGGACATGTCTCCAGTGACCCATTTCTGCCAGTCACACTTCACCTGCCTACAGTCACCACCCAGTGAGTCCCTTCAAACCAGGGTGAACTGAATGGTTAAGTTACAGTTCTCATAATCCAATCAGTTTACCTCCAAATATTCCTGCATTAACATGCCAGCTTTTGGGGGGACACCTTGTATCCAAACCATCATAACAGGTTACAGAATTTCTTCATGGGCAGCTCCAAGACAGAAAGGTAGAGTTTCTCTGACTCAACTTGGGGAAGGGATTCTAGTTTCTGTGGTCTACCTTGGAGAAGGGATAAGGAATCTTGGATGAAAACCAAAATATGCATATCTTAAGACCACATGCTCCTACTGATGCACAAAGAGGTCATCCCACCCACTGTTCCTTGAAAAAACCAGCAATTGCTACTCTGGGAAAACAGTTCGTACTCTTTCTCATTGAGCTGACAGATTCTCAGTACCCAGATCCTCTCCCTGCACAGGGAGTCCTCTCTCTGTGGACTTCCTGTCCTAGTCACACTAATTATATATGTCTCCTGGGAGGGATTCTACTTCTCTCCACCCTTTGAATGGGATGAATCATTTCTTAGAAGTCTCGCTTTATTTATACTTGGAAAACTTGATTTTGAGAAGCCAAATGACATCATGCTTTTCTAAGTGTGGGGTTTCCCTTCTGGTCTTGCTGTCGGGTTCCCATTGGCAGTGAGAGTGGAAGGGGCCGTCTGGGTCCAGCCAGCTCTGCTCAGAAGCCTCTTTGTCTTCAAATTGGGTTACCATTTGTTCCATTCATGTTTTTCTGGACAAAAGACCTGTGCTTGAAAGCTTGAAAAAACTTAATCGGGCAGCTACCTTGGCAAGGAAAGTCTGTGGAGCTAGGAACTGGGGACCCCAACTTCATTTGTCACCACCTCCTCTAATACCTAGACAGCCCGTCTCCTCCTTATATTTTATTGTGGAAAAATGCACAGAATAGATACATACTTTCATGAAACCTTATTACTCATTTTAAAATAAGTGTCTCAGTTTTCCATTATTTAAACCATTGCATTCAGAAGCTAATCCACGGTGGCATCTACGACTGATTGTTTTTACCAAGTCGCTTAAGGTTTTTTTTTTTTTTTCTTTTTATCAGATGGTAGGTAAGGATGCCCATATTAATTGGATTTCTCCTCCAAGCCCATCAGGTTGCACGCTTGCTTTCTGCAAATGTGATAATCATGTTCAATTTCTTAGTGGTATCTTTGGAGGAACTCGAATTTCAGAGATGAGAGGTAACGGAAGCAAATTTAACTTTAAAATATGCACAACCCAGTTGCTCACTTTTGTCCAAAACGTGTCTGCAATATTTTATGCTAGGTTGCTTTATTTGAGCTCTTTATTAATACTAGCTCTTTCTGAAATTTTTATACTGTTTGAACATCTCCGAGGTGGATTATTTCTTTTCATGTAACTACATCATACTTCAAGAAACTAGAGTGAAAGTTTAAAAAAAATAATTAATGTGTGATGGAATAATTTAGCAGCATTGAGGATAGTATTTATCCTGTATGTACTGTGCATGAGGGCTAGGGGACAGTCATTGCAGGAGACTGCACTGGGACTGGTAGAATAATTCAGTTGTGGCTCTCAACTGAGGTTGATGACCTACCCCCTGTCACCCTGGCCAAAGTCCAGGAAGCACTGTCTGGAGACATTTTTGGTCACACCATGTTAGCAGGGATATGCTACTAGATTCTAGTGTGTAGAAGACAGGGATGCTCCACAACTTCCCAGTATCCACTGCATCTGGTAGCCAGATGTTACTCGTGTTACCACTATGAGCTACAGGATCAGAGAGATCAGGGTGTTGAGTGGAACTGAGTCTTTTAAACACATTTGGAGACTGAAGACTTGATGGGTGCAG